AGGCCTTGGGCTAAAATAGTGATGTACATACAGAGTCTGCTCATTCCAGCAATGCGACTGATGAGAACATCACTCTTACTTAATAACCTGGTGAAGAACCAGATGGTATTTGGTGGCAAACTAGCACCGTGAGCTTAAAGAGCCTGCAATGGCTGCCATCTAGGAGCTCCACTAAGTCCAGGTATTGATCATCGATCTGTTATCTCCAATCTCCGATTAAAAGGAGGAAATGATTTAGGAAATAATATTGGAGTTATTATTCCCTGTCCTTGAGGATAGAGAATGTGACCCAGCTGGAGCTGAGCTCACAAGGACTCACAAGGACACATCAACTGGGCCCTGAGATAAAGACAATTATTGGAAATTATTTTTTAGGGAAGAAAAGTATCTTTTAGGGAACCTTTCACATAAAACCATTCAAACAGAACACAAACGACTTTTCCCTCTTATCTTTTTCTATTAGCATCTAGTGAATAGAAAATTTGTTGGACTGTCATTACCGATACCTGCACCAATGATTGTTAAGAAAGACAATTTCAAATGGAGGATCACAGTTTCTAGCCAATCTGTGAAAAGGCGAAGCTTTCAATAGTTTCGTCCATTTGTAATGTTAATACATACTGACGACTCTGTAATGGTCTCCAGACTCAGGCAGACATGGCTATGGCTTGTCCACTCTTGCCTATTCTGTAGTATTCTTTGGATTTGGACAGACATGGCTCTAGCAGCATGCTTGTCCATTTTCCCACTTTCGTCTGTTCTGTAATATTTCCTTGGACCTGGGCAGACATGGCTGTGGCAACATGCTTGTCCGTTTCCCATTCTTGCCTATTCTGTAATACTCTTTGGACTTGGACAGACATGTCTCTAGCAGCATGCTTGTCCGTTTTCCCACTTTTGTCTATTCTGGGATATCTCCTTGTATTCGTGCAGACATCGCTCTAGCAGCATGCTTGTCCATTTTTCCACTTTTGTTTGTTCTGGGATATTTCCTTGGACTCAGGCAGACGTGGCTCTGGCAGCACGGCTGTTTCCCACTTTTGCCTTTTTGAATATACGCTGAATAAAACTTTCTTTTTGCTTTTTAAAAAAAAAAAAAAAAGAGAGAGAGACAGAGAGTAAAATAACTACCCCTAACTCTGAAGAGTGATTGTACAAACTGGCTTCAACTTGGTAAACATTTAGAATACCTACTATACACAAGGAGTCCCTGGGTACTGCAAATGGTTAACACACTAGGCTGCTTACTGAAAGGTTGGAGGTTCTAGGCCACCCACAGGCACCTTAGAAGAAAGGCCTGGTGATCTACTTCTTAAAAATCAGCTACTGAAAATACCATGGAGCACAGTTCTACTCTGACACACGTGTTGTCGCCATGCAGAATTGACTAGATGGCAACTGGCTTACTGGTTACTATCCACAAGGTGCAGCATTAGGAGCTACAGAGAATACAAAGAATATATTTCCTAACAAAGTTTCTACCTCTTGGAGCCCTGGTGGCGCAGTGGTTAAGAGCTTGGCTGCGAACCAAAAGGTCAGTAGTTCAAATCCACCAACTGCTCCTTGGAAACCCAACGGGGTGGTTCTACTCTGTAGCTATGAGTCGGAATCGACTCGACAGCAATGGGTTTTCTGGCTTATACACAAGTTGCAGCGTTGAGAACTACAGGGAATACAAAGAATGTATCCCTAACAAAGTTACTACCGCTTAAGATGAAATGTAAGTACACAATGGTAATACAAAACAAAGTACAGTATGCTTAGTGCCATAAATTAAAAAAAAAAACAAACCAAACCCGCTGCCGTCGAGTCGATTCTGACTCTTAGAGACCCTATAGGACAGAGTAGACGTGCCCCATAGAGTTCCCAAGGACTGCCTGGTGGATTCAAACTGCCGACCTTTTGGTTAGCAGCTGCAGCACTTAACCACTATAATACCAGGGTTTCCAGCACCCAAAATAGGCACTAACAAACCATTCCAAAATCTGTTAGTTTTATTAAAGACCATTCCCCAAAACAAACAGAAGGATAACTATTTTCCGGAATAGATGTCTACTACATTTATAACCTTAATCCATCTCTTATCTCCTCTTCCTCATTATCTGCTTCACTTTTTTTTTTTTTTTTAATAGGTGCAAAATAGATGAGCAGGGAACCAGATCATGCTTAAAACAAACAAACCAAAAAAACAAACCCACTGCTGTCAAGTCCATTCTGACTCATAGTGACCCTATAGGACAGAGAACTGCCCAACAGGGTTTCCAAGGGTATAATCTTTATGGAAGCAGACTGCCACATCTTTCTCCTGCAGAGAGGCTGGTAAGTTCAAATATCTGACCTTTCGGTTAGCAGCCAAGTGCTTAATTATAGCACATAGCACCACCAGTGCTCCTTAGATTATGCTTACTATGTACCAAAAAAAAAAAAAAACCCAGTACTCGATCCCTGCTGTACATTAGAAGCACCTGGAGAATTTTAAAATATTGATGCCCAGACCTCATCATTTACCAATAATAAATTTAGTATTATACAAATGTAGGTCTTACTCTCATTTTCCAGATTAATCACATAACTTTGAGCAAATTCCTTAAATCCTCACCAACACTACCACCACCATAGCCACCAACAATCCTCAGTTTACTTTCATCTGCAAAATGGGAATGATGCCATCTGCTTCTATAGGGTTATCATAGGTAACAAATTACAAAATATATACAGAAAAATGCTCTGAATATTGTAATATGCCATGAAGGTATAAAGCATCACAGTTAAAGAAACTGGAAATGTACTTTATTCTGCATCTACCATACAACCAAAAAAACCAAACCTGTTGCCGTCGAGTCAATTCCAACTTATAGCAACCCCACAGGACAGAGTAGAACTTTCCCATAGGGTTTCCAAGGAGCGCCTGGTGGATTCGAACTGCTGACCTTTTGGTTAGCAGCTGTAGTTCTTAATCACTACACCACCAGGGTTTCTATCTACTATGTAAATCCAAACATTAGTCCAATACAACTTTTTCATCATAATTATGACAGGCTAAGGATGGTCACAAATTCCTTGACATTCTTCCCTTTAAGAGGCAGGAGTCTATCATCTGGTAGAGTGAGGGTTCTTTGATGACTCTGATGAAGAGAGTATGTTGGAAATAATACTGTGTCAATTTCTCGGCCAGGCTTTAAGAGACTGGCAGTTTCTACTTCCTGCATCTTTAAGCATTTGCTCCTGGAACCCAACTGCCATGCTGTGAGAAGTCCAAGCCACATGAAAAGACTACATGTAAGTACTCCAGTTGACATCCCTAGCTGAGATCACAGCCAACATTAACTGCTATCCATGTGGGTGAGCCATCTTGTATGTCCAATCCAGATGAGTTTTCAGATGACTCCAAACCCCAGCTGCTCATCTGACTACAAATGCATGAGAATCACCCAGCTGAGTCCAGTTAGGCCAGAGAAACATGAGAGATAATAATAAAGTGTACTTTGAAGCCACTATGCTTTGAGTGATTTGTTACACAGCAATAGGTACGTGGAACAATAACCAAGATATTTTTAAATGCTTCCCTAATTATATTTAAACTTATTAGCAACTCATATTTTAATAAATGCCTTTTGTTTAACCTCTATAAAAACTAGTGTACTTTCATGTAGAAAAACTTCATGATAAAATATAGACATTTTATGGAAAAAAATCCGATATGGCTTTCTTACTTTACAAAAGTCATTTTAGTTGTCGCATTATGTTCACATTTATAAACCAATGCCCATAATGATTAATAAAGTTTAAGTATATGAAAAATACTAATAACACATCTTTAAAGGAGTTTTGTTAGTTTTTCTCATGCACTGCCTTTTAAAAAAACACAACACATACCTATGTGCACAATTTCAATGATAGCTTTTGTTTCTTTACTATTACAGGATCCTTACTATCTAATTTTAAAGATGTGCCTGATGTATCACAAGAAAAGAAATACACATTTCAAGGCAGCTGTACCAACATGATAAAGACAGCACAACCTACACTACCTGTCAGATAAACTGGCCCAATACTGTGAAGTCATGAGAAATTATGAAATCCATCATGAATGGGATTCATCAATGAATCTTAAACAGAATCTGTTGAAATGAAAAATCTGCTTACATAGCAAGCCTAGAACAAGAACACTTTCTTAACAAATATCACTTGACATTTTTAATGCTGCAGCAGGATACACACAAAATTAAAGATGCTTGCAGATTCAGAAAGAGTAGCACCTTTACTTAGGCATCCCTTTCATCTGAAACCCTCAGCACTCTTAACTAATATTAATTTCCTCAGGTTCAGCAACACCTCTGTGAGTCAGGTAAATGCTTCGTTAGGGATTAAGTGACTTGCTTCAAGGTCACAGAATGAATTGGAGGCAAGAAATAAACCCAGGAGTGTGGTCTGCAGCTTTATGCATAAATGCATATCAGTGTAGTTCAGAGTTCTGTTAATCTCCAAGGGGAAGTTGAGGTGAAATTAACTTGTCCAACAACTCTAGGATAGAAAGCGCATTTTACGAAAAAATAACTTCTATTTGGGTAAGTCATAGTTATAACTACGATGAGCTTACAGGGTCTTTAGCCATACCTGCGCTCGACTAAAAGCGAGCGTGGCTGGACCAGAGTAGGGACTGGTAAACACTGTGAGGGGCTGTAGTAAGGCCTGGGATTGTAGACCGACCGATAGCAGACAATCGGAAAACGGAAGCTAAAGGAAGGAGGTCAAAGCAGGGTCTGGGTGTCCAGGAGGGAGAAGATATGGTCAAGGCCACCTTCTAAGACAGGAAAATCTGAGTCCATACGAAACTCGCTGGGAAAAACTGAGCCTGGGCCCTTCCTCCAAAAGCTGGTTCTGTTTCGGGGTTATTCCACCCCTCTCTGTGGACAGGGTTTGTCTTCCGAGTGACCAGCAGCTGGCGGAAGGAAAGGGGGCTGACTGCGGCCAACTTCCCTTCCCAGACCCGAACTCACCGTACTGTCGGGCGCACTTCATTAATGCCGGCCTCCTAGCCAAAGGCCCATCTCCCACAACCTGAGGAAGAATCAGCCTTCGCTATCCCGTCAGAAGCTAGTCCAGTTCATCCCCTTTCCCGATTTGCACCGCGTCGCGTCGCGACGCGTCGCATCTCAAGACGTCACCGTGGGGGTGGGGCTTCGCGCGTTTGCGTGCACGCGTGACTTCTCTCTGAGCCCCTCCCCGCCCGGGCCCGAAGAGGAGGACGCCTGAGTGGGCGCAGGGGCGGGGCCTAGGTGGGTGGGGCTGGGGGCCCGGCCGTCTTCCTACTCACTCTGCGCGGTATCTCCGGGGTGGAGCTGGTGTTATCTCGCTGCTCTTGCGGCTTTTAACTACGTATTTTTGTTCGTCCTTGGATAGGAGGTGTAGGGCCGACAGACGAGAGATTTGAATCCTTCAACTTCTGGCCGAAAGTTTAATCCGTTCAACCAGTCAAGCCCCTGGTCAAAGAAGAACGGACGTAATCATAAAACATAACTAAAGAAAAAAATTATTTACAACTGCATCTATCTTTTGAGGGTGTATAGTAGGAAAGGAGCTTTTTTTTCTCCCCCTGCTGAGCACCTTGATTAATTTGAGTATGCAAAGTAAAGCTCAGAGCTGAGTTTGGGAGTAGGAACTAAACAGAAGAATTTGGAGTTCTCTGAAGACAATCAGAGAGAGAGTGAGGGCGAGAATGTGAAGCGAAAGAGGGAGAGAAGCCGTTGGAGTGAATTTACCAATGACAAAAAGTCTCCGATGGGGGGTGGCAGGAAGGCTTTACTAAACAAGGCTCTTGAACATTCTCCTACAGTTACTTGTGTTGCTGTGATTTAACACTTCCCGGAGTAAGTGGACTTTCCCCCTCCACTTCCCGAAAACCAAGTCAAGTTGACTAAAACACAAGTTACCCGCAAGAGTTCTTGTGAAAACTAGGGGAAAGTTCCACATGTGGGTCACTTGGTGCGGAAGAGAAACTGGGCACAAGATAACAGGATGATCCCAAAACTGAATTAAGGTGGTGAAAACAGGAAAAACAATGTTCTAAGGAACTCACAGAGATCTTGGGGTGGACTTTGGACTTCAAAATTTGTGAAGTGAAAGTTTTTTTTTGTACTTTAGATGGAGGTTTACAGAACAAACTAGTTTCTCATTAAACAGTACACATATTGTTTTATGACATTGGTTAACAACCCCATGACATGTTAACACTTTCCCTTCTCAACTTTGGGTTCCCTATTACGAGCTTTCCTGTCTCCTCCTGCCTTCTAGTCCTTGTCTCTGGGCTATTGTGCTGCTTTAGTCTCACTTTGTTTTATGGGCCTGTCTAATCTTTGGCTGAAGGGTGAACCCCGGGAGTGACTTCATTTCTGAGCTAAAAGGGTGTCTGAGGGCCATACTCTCGGGGAGTGAGAACTTTTAAGGAGCAGAGTCACCTGTTTATTGAATTCATGATAGACACTGGTTCTTTTTCAAACATGCAGTAACAAGCCAGGCAGCAGTGTCTATGGTACCTAGAATCCAAGTAGTGGTCACTAGCTGTTTAGAAGGCATGGCCTATATTTAACCATTGCTTCAGTTCACAGCCATCCAGCATAAGGAGTAGTCCAAAACTGACTGAACGTGATTCATCCTCCATTCATTCAACAAGTATTTTCTGAATACAGATTCTATGCTAGACATTCTTATATAGACTCAGGATATAAAGACCCTGCTCAACGCAGAGCTTACTTACATTCTGGTAAGGGATACAGATGAAAAGCAAATACACATATACTATGCCTGGTGTTATTAAGTCTTAAAAAGAAAATAAACAAGGCAAGGGGCCATCGAATGGAGCACTGGAAGTGCTCACTCGTCTATGCCAAGAAATTTGGAAGACAGCTACCTGGCCAACCAACTGGAAGAGATCCATGTTTATGCCTATTACCAAGAAAGGCGATCCAACCAACTTCTGAAATTATCGAACAATATTGTTAATATCACACACAAGTAAAATTTTGCTTAAGATCATTCAAAAGTGACTGCAGCAGTATATCAAAGAACTGCCAGAAATTCAAGCCAGATTCAGAAGAGGACATAGAACCGGGATATCATTACTGATGTCAGATGGATCCTGGCTGAAAGCAGAGAATACCAGAAAGATGTTTACCTGTGTTTTATTGACTATGCAAAGTCATTTGACTGTGTGGATCATACCAAATTATGGATAACATTTTGAAGAATGGGAATTCCAGAACACTTAATTGTGCTCATGGGGAACTTGTACATAGATCAAGAGGCAGTCATTTGAACAGAACAGGGAGATACTGCATGGTTTAAAGTCAGGAAAGGTGTGGGTCAGGGTTGTATCCTTTCACCATTCTTATTCAATCTGTATGCTGAACAAACAATCCGAGAAGCTGGACTATATGAAGAAGAATATGGCATCAGGATTGGAGGAAGACTCATTAATAACCTTTGATATGCAGATGAAACAGTCTTGCTTGCTGAAAGTGAAAAGAACTTAAAGCACTTACTGATGAAGATCAAAGACCACAGCCTTCAGTATGCATTACACCTCAACATAAAGAAAACAAAAATCTTCACAACTGGACCAATAAGCAACATCATGATAAACGGAGAAGAGATTGAAGTTGTTAAGGATTTCATTTTACTTGGATCCACAATCAACACCCATGGAAGCAACAGTCAAGAAATCAAAAGACGCATTGCATTGGACAAATCTGCTGGAAAAGACCTCTTTAAAGTGTTGAAAAGCAAAGATGTCACCTTGAAGACTAAGGTGCACCTGACCCAAGCCATAGTGTTTTCAGTCGCCTCATATGCATGTGAAAGCTGGACAGTGAATAGGGAAGACAGAAGAAGAATTGACGCCTTTAGGTTGTGGTGTTGGTGAAGAATATGGAATATGCCAGAAGAATGAACAGATCTGTCTTAGAAGAAGTATAGCTAGAGTGCTCCTTGGAAGCGAGGATGGTGAGACTTTGTCTCACATACTTTGGACATGTTATCAGAAGGGACCAGTCCCTGGAGAAGGACACCATGCTTGGTAAAGTAGAGGGCCAGCGAAAAAGAAGAAGACCCTCAGCAAGATGGACTGACACAGTGGCTGCAACAATGGACTCTAGCATAACAACAATTGTGAGGATGGCGCAGGACCGGGCAGTGTTTTGTTCTGTTGTACATAGTGTCGCTCTGACTCGGAACCAATTCAACAGCACCTAACAGCAACAACAACAGGGGGCCAACATGGACAGAGGGGTGCTATTTTTGGTGGGATAGTCAGGGAAGGGCTCTCTGAAAATGATATTTCCACAGAGTCTTCAGTGAAGAGAAGGAACAAACCATGGCTACATGCGGGAGAAGAGCATTCAGGGAGTGGGAGCAGTGCAGGTGAAGGCAGGCAGGAAAAGATTGATGTGCTGGGGAAATGGCAAGGAGACCAGTATGGCTGACATGGAGTGAACGGAAACATGATAGGAGATGACCTCAGAAGGTGGAGCACAGATTATGCAGGGCCTTGCAAGCCACCGAGACATGCTTATCCCAGAATAACACAAAGAGTGAATCACACGCTAATATTTTTTTTTTATTGTACTTCAGGTGAAGGCTTACAGAACAAATAGTTTCTCATGAAACAATAGTACACATATTGTTTTATGACATTGGTTAACAACCCCACAACATGTCAACCCTCTAACTTCTCAACCTTTTTTTTGGTGAAAATACACACAGCCAAAGATACACCATTTCAAAAATTTCTACAGGCACAGTTCAGTGACATTGACTACGCTATTCCAAATGTGCTGGTATTCTCACTTAAGATGAAGGCTTACAGAACAAAATAGTTTCTCATTTAACAGTTACTACACATGTTGCCCTATGACAATGGTTAACAATCTCACAACACATCAACAATATCCTTACTCAACCTTGGGTTCCCTATCACCAGCTTGCTTGACCCCTTCTGCCTTCTGGCCCTTGTCACTGGACTCCTGTACCTCGTTAGTCTCATTTGGTTTTACGGGGCTGTCCACTCCCAGGCTGAACAGTGAACCTCGGAGGTAGCTTCACCACTGAGCTAAAAGAGTGTCTGGGGGCCATACTCTCGAGGTTTCTCCAGTCTCCTTTAGGCCAGTAAATCTGGTCTTTTTTTCACATGCTAATAGTTTATGAAAAATTTAGCTTTCAGGCATATGATACAATTAACAACATTGTGTACAAATTTTCATCCAGTTGTTTTTTAGCCAAAGCACAAGTTGCTGTGGTTCCTTCACTAATCAGTTATTCTTTACTATCCATCTGCTTTTCTATCTCCTAAAATCATAATGATTATCACTTTGGGTCAGTTACATGGCCTATCAAAACAAGCTTTTTATCTCCAGGGGATGCATCGCCAGACAAATGGTAGAAAGTTTTGGCTGTCCTCCTGGATGGTTCAAAGGTCAGGCACTTGGCACTTTATTTTGTAATTTCTGCCTTAAACCTTTATGTTTTCTGTTCTTTTCTATTATTTTGTAATATAATTTATTTTATTTTTGTTGTTGAGAATACACACAGCAGAACATACACAAATTCAACAGTTTCTACATGTACGATTCAGTGACATTGATTACATTCTCTGAGTTAGGTGATCATTCTCACTCCCTTTTCCGAGTTGTTCCTCCCCCATTAACATAAACTCCCTGCCTGAGTTTCCTACCCAAACTTTTGAGTTGCCGTTATCAATTTGATCCCATGTAACTACTCACTCTTTGCACTTCTCTAGGACTCTATCAGTCATTAGTTTATCTTAACTTAAAAAAAAAAACTACTATATCACCACTTAGCATGATACGAGTTCTACTTTTTATGTGAAGGTATATTTCTATCTAATAGGACTAAACTTACTTCAGTTAATTTTTAGGAATAACCCCTCATTCTATGATTTCAGGATTTAGTGAAGAACTTTAGGTTTACCTTTTTCATCTTTTTATTATTTTACAGACTTAAAAACCAGTTGCTGTTGCATTGATTCCAACTCATGGTGACTCCACTTGTGTTAGAGTGAAAGTGTGCTCCATAGGGTATACAATGGCTTATTTTTCTGAAGTAGATCGCCAGACTTTTCTTTCAGGCACCTCTGGGA